TCACCCACAGACGTCTTTCTCCCTTCTTCCCTAGAACAGTTACACAGTTCTTCTCCTTTCCCTGTTACACCATCAGCCCCTTTAGAATGGTACACTCTGAAGATGGCGAGTCTGCCATCTAAGCTCCCAAAACATAACCGAGTATGTACTCTTCATGTATTATACTCTTAATATTTATTGATAGATTGAATGGTAGACGCCAAACACCATCTTTTCACTTCAGTAGCATTTAATCCAGAGTCTTGCATAAAAGCACAGGTTCAATAGATGCTTATCAGATTTAACTGATTTCAAATACAATTTTAAAAAGGATGCTCATCTTATTTTCTTGTTTTGAGCCAGTGCAAATTTTAAGATGCAGAGTGATCTACCTACTTGCCGCATCCTAAAATGTACAGTTTCTAATCATGGAACTGTGGACTGCTCACAAACGGGAGGGATCTGCTAACCGCATTCTCCCTCTGTGTTACTCCCATTTCATGTAAGCCCTGCTGACACAAGCATCAAGGAGGTTTTAAAACAAATGTTATCCTTTCTCAGATGAGAATCATGCCTTCTTAGCTCCCACAGGGAGAAACACTCATGGGCATACACATCGATCCCCACACCTTAGCCAATTCTGCTCCCCCTGAGGTCTTTCCACCATGATCCACCCACAGCAAAGCTAGGTGGGCAGCGGGGACTCCGCATCGAGCAGTTTTTCTGCTGCTTGGGAAACCCAGGGAATTTTAATGCTATTGAGCCACTCTGCTCAAACACTCCTGGTGTGAACTGAGCAAAGCTCTAGTTGCTAGGCAACCATTACAAAAGCAGAAGGATTTCCAAAATAAAAAGAGACCCAAAGAGACCCAGAATACACTGGAATTAAGTGCAATTGCACTGTTCATCAGCAACTGGTGGATGGCACCCTTACCTTGGTTAGATGGTCTGTTTCTTACTCTAGAAAATATTACTATCTGGGTCCTTCAATTTTTCACCAAACTGGGGGTGGGAGCAAGGTGTTGGTGTTTTGGTGTTTTGTTTGGTTGGTTGGTTTTGTTTTGTTTTGTTTTCTCTTTCACAGTTTCTGTGAACAGAGAAAGAGGTGTGTTTCAATGTTGGGACTCCTAGAAAATGATGGGTGCTCAATAAATAATAAACATGTGGTTACAAAGGTGTGCATTCTCACAGCTTCTGGAGATGTATAAAAGTATAGTATAAAAGTATAGTCATGCATCTGTTTGATGGCTTTAAAATAAGTCCACAAATTCTTAGTTACCTCCCTTTGAGCAATGAAGCTGGCATGGCATGGAGCTTAGTGTCTTGCTTCTAACAAATAGAGTATGGCAGTGTTAGGCTAGGTCACAAAGGCATCTCAACTTTCCCCTCCTCCACCCTACCATCATTCACCCTGGGGGAAGCCAGCCACCATGTCGTGAGGGTGCTCAGCTGTCTCCAGAGAGGCCCAATTGGCAAGGAACTGAGGCCTCCTGCCACAGCCAGGTGAGGGCACTCTCTTCAACACAGATTCTCCAGGCTCAGGGAGGCCTTCAGAGGTCTACAGGAGCCTCTGCCAACATATGACTGCAAAAAACACAGGAAAGGCGCAGAGCCAGAACCAGCCAGCAAGGCCTCTGCCAAATTCCTGACCACAGAAATGAGGAGGTACAAGTCAAATGATTGTTATTTTAAACCACTCTGTTTGGGGGCGCTCCATTACACAGCAATGGGTAACACAAGAGCTCATCCAGATAGAAACTCTCTGAAGGAAAGGTTTGGGTCTTGCTGGCTCCTTCATCCGGCATCCAGTATCCTATGTGCACTCAATTAGCAATAGGAGGAACTCACTTAATGACGAGCTTGTTCCCCAACTTTATAGATACCTTTACGTACATATCTTTCACCCACAGAAACAAGAGTATGATCCTTTTATTAAAAAGACACTTTTCAACAAAGAGCCACCAGGCAGCATGATTATCCAAGGAGCTATTAGAAATTATGGGGAAAGTCCACTGGAACTTGCAAACCCCTCCTCCTTGCTGGGTGGGAGGGAGATTCAGCCGGAAGCAGCAAGGGCTTGACATATACTCAGGCAAGAGCATGTAAGGAAGGGCACATCTGGAGCAGTTTGCACTTCTCAGAGAAGGAAAAGACACTTCACAGTGGAGAGGGGGCCCAGGTCCCCACTAGGGACCTAGAAGTTCCCCTAAGGCAATGTCACAGCAAGAGCACAAGTGAGTGAAGGCTGGTTGGACCAGATAGCCTTTCAGTCCTTTCCGACCGTGGTTACAGAACATCCCTCCTGCCTCTTGGCCACACACCTGGAGGCAGGTGGCAGGTGTACCCTCCTGCCTTCTGCAGACCAAAAAGCTAAAGGTGGACACAGTGCCAGCATTTTCCACATCCTGCCCACATGCTCCCTCTCTCTATTGAGTATCTAAGGAGACTGTTCTAGGACGAGCTGGATGCAGCCCCTGGAATACGAGCAAAGGGCAAGGCCTGCCCTCCAGGCAACTTCGGGCAATGGAGGGCACCTGTGGTCAACTGCAGACCCCACTCATGCCTTGCTTTCTTTTAACAACTCAGTTTCCAGAGTTGAAATGCTGTACCCTGCTCCATGCTGTAAGATCTGTAGGAAAACTAGAAGCTAGCCTGACAGCTCACTCACTTACCACCCCTCCCAAAGAAGGCACACATTTTTAAATGTGTTCAATTGCCCAAAAATATCCAAAAGTTAAAAGCAATAATTTAAATGTCCCAGACCATAAATCACATCCTTCTCTTCTTTCTACTCATTGCTTTTGTGCACCCCCTGCCCTGTGGCCACCATATCAGGCACACAGCAAGCACGGTACACGTGGAACTCATGGTTGCTAGTTAGCTAGAATTAGCTACAATTGCTACTAGTGCAGTTCATTCATGGGAAGCTTCCCAAGCCTGAATGCCCAAGGTACTCTGCTAGGTTCTTTATCCACACCACTTAACTCAGCCCAACAGCTACCCAACAGAATGAGAATTTGAATTATTTAAGAGCATCACAAAGCTAGCCATCACCCAACTCCAAACCCAGGCTCCTCCCGCTGTCCCCACTTCTCGAATCAGAACTATTTAATATTCAGAGGTGATCCTACATTCCCACCCAGCTCTGAAGACACAGGTTTCCACCACCCTCTTTCTTATGTGTCAACCAAGGCTCCAATATTTTGAAAGAGTTTAATTGTCTGCTGAACTTATTGAGAAACAATAATTCCATGCTTACTGAAAGACATTTCAAACTCCCAGCCCAGGTCTTTGCTCAGCATGAGACAACCCAGTTTATCTCAGAATCCATAATAATCCCAGCGTAAGCGGTTGACATTTTACCAAGTCATAGCTTTTCTGAAATATTAAAAATAGCTCCAAATTCCCCATAATTCAGGTTTTGCCTTCCAGAGATTTTTTTTTTTTAGAAGCCATTTAATACAATCAATGTAGTGTTTAAGAGGGAGATTCCATTCTGAGGATATGAAGAGACCCATGTGAACCCCTCCGTTGTTGCCCCATGTCTTCCAGCCCACTCCACATTAACCCAGCAGGAAGGAAGCTGTGAGGGGAGGAAGGGAGGAGGAGGAGGGAGGCGAGCAGAGGGTGGGAGAGAGATGCCTTCATTCAGTTACAGGAGAGTGCCAGGCACCACCCTTGAGTCTTACTGTTGGACAATGCTGCCATCTGCTGGCAAAGTTAGAAACTCATTACAAAATAGTACCAGCCATTCATACAAACCACAGCGCTGTGATCTTAAGCACCAACAAATTACCTCCATAAAGGTGATTATAAATAGAGACCGGAATCCATCTAAAATAGATTTCATAGCATTCACCTTTCAAGCTCCAAACTTTTTAAATATGCCATGTAGAAGCTGAACAATTAGAGAACCTTCCTCCGTGTTCTACCCATCCATTGCTTGCTCCCTTCCAACCCATTGCTCACTCAGCAGCCAGAGTCACCAGTGGCTTTGACTTTCACTTGGAGCAAATCTAAACAAACATGTTTCTGTGGCCCCTGAGGGACTCCTAACTGGTGGCTAGCAAGCCCAAAGTGCAGCAGTTCCAACTCTGTGCATGTGTCTCAACAGGGTTCTCAGTGGCTTTCTATGAGGACGCCCTGTGTCCTCAGGCCTCTCCTACCCACACCATTTATTCACCAAGACCCTGCAGTCAGGACATTCACCTGGAAATTCACATCCAGCCAGAACCTCAGGACGTGACCTCATTCAGAAAAAGAATCTCTACAAGTGCATTAAGTTGAAAAGAGGTCACCCTGCATTGGAGTGACCCATGTGACTGGTATCCCCATAAAAACAAAGAGACAAAGGCCCACGAGGAGGAAGTTCCTGTGAAGATTGGGCAGAGACTGATGTCCCAGAAGTTGATAGTAGACCAGCAGTTACCAGAGGCTGGGACGAGGAGGAGAGAGCGCCTTAGTCCGCCTTTTGCCTCTGTAACCAAAAAAACTTACAAGAACAACTTTGAGGAGAAAAGATTTATTTTGGCTCCGGTTTCAGTGGTTTGAATCCATAGTCAGCTGGTCCCATTGCTCTAGGCCTGAGGTAAAACTGTACATCATGGCAGAAGGGTATGGTAGAGGGGAGCTGCTCCGCTCACGGCACCCAAGAAGCAGACAGAGAGGAAGGGGCCCAAGACAAGATATGGTCCCCAAGAGCAGGCCTGCAGTGACTACTTCCTCCAGCCATGCCCCACCTGCCTCAGGTTCAGCCATCTCCCTGTGGTCTGCTGGATGAATTAATCCACTGGAGAGGCCAGAGCCCACATCATCCAGTCACTTCCCAAAGTGTCACCTCAGAGCTGTGCTCTACTGAGGAGCTTTGACAGTTACATGAGCCCATGCCAAGGGAGAGCATATTCTCATCACCCGAGAACATTCCCTTGAGTCTCTGCAGACCCCTGTCTCTATCCCGCCTGGAAAAGCAAAGAGGCACAGCACTGTCTCCCAAGCCCACCAAGGACGGGCACAGGGAGGGCTTAGGCCTCTGCCAGCTGCTGCAGCAATGACAGAGTCCCATAGAGGGCAGACAGGGGCATCTTGGCCTCCAGATCCCAGGTTGACCTGGGGCTACTCAGCTCCATCTTCAGGCCACACTCCTCCAGCAAACCATAGGTGATGGCCAAGCCCTCACCCTGGAGTGGGGCGAGGAGCTCTGGGGGGAGGGTGAAGGGGATGCTCCACGGGTACTTGAAGTTCGGCTCTAGGATGACCCTCACCTAGAAGAAGAGTTATCCGATGGGAAAGTGGAAACTTGGAGATGGGGGGAGAAATCATCTATCCCAACATCAGGGACCAGGCAGAACAATGGAAGCAGGAGCTTTGGGGCCAAGCCAGGGCGTGATCAGTGGTTGAAAAGCATGGTGCATTGCTTCCTCTGCTTTGAAATGGTACTGCTAAAGCTTACCTGCAGAATAGTGGTGTTTGGCTGTCCGGATGCATGGGTACATATGTATATGTCTGCACACATATTTGTAGATGCATGTGCATGGGTGTACATACATATGTGCATGCAACATGAGTCAGTACTTGTATACAGTTTAGGTAAAGAGCAGCTTGAAATGGTGCCTTCGTAGTGAAATCAAGGTGTGGATTACTCACGTCCCCTTATTATAAAGCCACAGAGTTCCTATATGGATATTTTGGGCCTTTTGGGGCCCACTGGTGGGTCTGGCATGAAAACAGAGTTGCTCTTGACATAACCTCACACCCAAGAGGCCTGCTCCCAGAAGGAGAATGCAGCCAAGGATTTCCAAGTGCCCCTCTCCCCTCCAGAGGGAACATGAACCCTCTCTCTTTTCTCAGAATCCTCAGAACCATTCTTACCCTCCTTCTTTCCCCCTCCTCCCTGGACTGCTGGCCCCTGGGGACTTCTCACCAACTCTCGTTGCCAGAGCAGAATCCTCTTCTCCATGGACAGGGCCAGGAGTTCAAGTTGGGTGTCACTCAGCACTAGGGGAGGGAGAGATGTGGAGGAAGAGTGACAGAGTTCAGATACTCTCTCACCATGGACCAGGAGACCATGAGAGGGGAATGCTGAGGGAGAAGGATCAACCCTGCTCGGCTGAAGTTCTTCCTTCTACCATTTTTTTTTTTTTTTTTTTTGGCTCTAGGGATTTAACCCAGGGTGCTTTACCACTGAGCTATATCCCCAGCCCCTTTTATTTTTTTCTTTTTTACTTTTTTTTTAAACTTTTTTATTCTGATGCGGGGTCTCACTAAGTTGCTTAGGGCCTCACTAAGCTGTTGAGGTGGGCTTTGCGCTTGAAACCCTCCTGCCTCGGTCTCCCAGATTGCTGGGATTACAGGCGTGCACCACCGTGCCCATCTCCTTCTACTCTTGAATGTCTCCAGGAAACTGAACAGCATAATCCGGGGTGTGGGTTTTAGGGTGGAGGTTGGGGTCTTCTGCCTCGAGGATCAGTTATATGATCCACAGTCAGTCACTTTCTAGTCCTTGGGCTTGGTCAGTGTCACACTGGGCCCTCCTAAACTTGGAGAGAGGGTAGATGAAAAGCATCATGATAACTGAAGTACTCTGGAGCATTGGCATCTAAAGCGTTCATTCAGAGGGTCTGAGGCCAACGGTGCCTCTCCCACTCTGCCCACAGATCACTCTTACCCATCATGGTTTGGAGAAGGTAAAGAATGCTGTCCTGTGGCTTAACCCACGGAGGTCTTGAGTCCTGTCGCAGCTTGTTTAGGATTATGCTGCCAGGGCCTTTCAAATGATCCCAGCTGTCCAAGTCCAGCTACAGGAGACAGGTGGCTTGTTCATGACAACAGTAATGACATCATCGTGGTATGATCTGCCAGTGTCTCCTTTGTCCATCAATGATGACCAAGGAGTGGGCTGATGGCTCTCTATCTCCACCAGCAGATTCCCAGGGCCTCTAGAGATGGAGGAGGCTGCACTCTGTGGCCCTGGTCACTGTGCCGAGGCCAAAATCCCCACTCTGACATCCTCCTCACTCCCTGGCCTCTTGCTCACGCCTCCTCCCTCAGGTATATCGGTGCCCATATGTCCTACCTGTCCCCCCGACAGCTCTGACAGCCCCAGGAAGCTGCGGGACATCCTCACCACATCCATCAGGTCCTGCAGAGCTCCTCTGTCCCCAAGCATGGGCAGGATATTGTAGAACACGACACCCTGAACGTCCTTTGAGAGCTGGGCCAGGGCCTCAGTTTTCCGGAAAACCTCCTCTTGTAGATGCTTGAAATCTGCCCTCAGCCATCAACACCAACCAAAAAGTGGGAACAATCTTCAGTTAGAACCTCCCAGGGATGATGGCCCTTCCCACCAAAATCAGCCAGACACCTCTATCCTTTTCAGCTACTGACCAGAAGCGCCTCTGCTATTGGCTGGCTTGGGCTCCAGGGATGGGGCTGTAATGAGGCTGGGATGATGACCAATCCTAAGCTCTGAAAGGACAGCATATTGAGAGCAGATGTAGACATTCTCAAAACAGTCATTGCAAGTCGGAGGAAAAGACCAAGTGGCTATTTCTGGGACAGTTCAGGGATACTGTGAAATCCAGTGTTGGGCTCTAGAGAGAAAAATCTCAGGTATTCTGAGGTCAGTTTCCATATCTGTTAAATGGGGATATGGCAAGGATTAAATGAGTTTGTGTTTCTCAAGCACTTGGCACACAGGGTCTACCCTTATTATGCAGTTGTGCCAGCACCTTCAACATGCATAAAGAATTGATCAAGTAGATATTGGGGGCTGATTTCCCCAGGGGGCTTCAGGGAGCTTCAAGGTGACTTATTGGGAGTGAGAGATCTCCTCAGTGGAATCTCCAAAGAGCTGGGCATTCTGTAAAGCCTGCTGGGCCATAAGTCCTCAACAAATGGTGACCGCGTACATGAATGAATGAGTGGAGCTAACCAAAGTGGTCGTCTGGGAGTAAACTTGTTTTCTCAGTTGCAAGAAAACTCTAATTTGGGACTGGCTTCTTTACCTTGGCCTTTGATCTCCCACCCAGAAACCCCAGATTCCCCTTACTAAACACTCACCTGGGCAAAAAGGTTCCTCGATTCTTCCTAGGAAGGGAATCACAAGTCATCATTTTTCTTCACCCTCAAATTTGCTTGAGGCTCATTGGAGGGTCTGCCCACCCGCTGTCTCCCCTGTCCTGGTTAACCTCTTGGTGACCCCATCCTGGTCCTTCCCTTCGCCATGTGGGCCCTCCTGAACCCTTCTCATCCACAGGACCCGGGGAGAGCAGAGAACAGTGACAACCAAGTCAGGGGCAATCCACCCTCAGGCCTGCTACCTGCAGGCTGGGATTCCCACCTTCGCCTCCAGCACACACCCTCACCTACACTCACCTCTACAAAGGTTGGCAAATACAGGCTGGCCTAGAAAGAGCAGGTGACCCAAGAGTTAGTCCCAAAGACTTGGTTTCTCCAAATCCTGCCTCTACTTCCCCTCACTCCCTCTTCTTCACTGCTCCGCCCCCTGCCCACAGGGCCAGATGCCCACGCCGGGGGGATTGGCAGCAAAGGCAATCGGGTAGTTGGGTTTCTGTTGTGCAGAGTGGCCCGGAGAGGCATCAGGTTTACCTACCTGATCCGAAACGTGTTCTTGAACAACCCTGTAATTTAAGTAACTCTGGAAAAGAGAGAAAGTGTCCACTCACCAAGAGCCAGTACCCCCACTCCCCTCTTCTCTCTTCTACCTCTTTTGCTCCACCTCTCACCTCTCCAACTCCTCCCTCCTTTCTCTTTTTCTCACCTCATACCACTACTTCAATTGAGAAGTTCCTCCAGAGAAAGGGATCCCCAGGCAGACCCCACCCCATCACACTCACACCTATCCCAGTGTTCGGAGGGGAAAAGCTGGTCTCCCTGGCCCCAGGTCTTGGCCAGGTCCAAGACAGGGAATGTGGATGGTGAGGGGGGAAGGTTTTTTAATGACTGGCCCCAGTGGGGGGTGGAGTGGGCTCATGCAATATCCAAAGGGGGTCTGGACTCACCAGGGCCCAAGTTCTAGGCAGAGAATCTGCCAGGCTCTGGACTCACCATCTGGAAAGGTTTTGTGCTTAGCATCCGTGGAGATGAGAAGAAAGGCTGCACGGAAAAGCGTCCCATCAGGAGAGCTGTGTTCCACACCTTGTACCTGGAGCTTGGGGACCCATGGATACACCACCCGGGATGTTTGTCAACCAAGCCTCTGGGTCTTGTGAATCAGATCCCTGGATGAGACCTTGAGGGATCCTTATGCCTCCAGGTCAAGGGGACTGGCTTCCTCCTGCCTGCCCAAGGGACTGTCTCTGTCAATCTTTCCTCCCAGTGCTGACCTTACTTATCAATTCCCAACCTTGCAATCTCGGGTGGTTTCATGTTTCATATAGAGAAATGTCCTGAGGTCTGAAACTTGCCTAACACCAAACTAGGAGAACAGCTTAGGAAGAAGAACAGTTTCCCAGGTGCTGGAGAATGTGATCCATGGAATCAGACGCAGCTGAGCTCCGCACTGCCTGCCAGTCACACCCTGACCACTAGAGGGCAACAGGGGACGTCCACTGACAACGCAGGCCCAATTGAAGGGAACCAACTGGCAGGCAGGGCTTGATTTACAAGATAAATAAATTTACATAACAAACAGGAATATTATGTGCAGAACAGTGTAGTTTTTTTGCCACACCACAGGCTAGTAACTTCAGAGAAAATTAGAATTCTCCCGAGTGCTAGTCTTCTCATCTCAACTGTAAAATGGAATCAGGACCTTCTCAACCAAGCTGATACAAAGAATCAACATCCAGCCACGTGACTGACACCCATCCTCTTCCGCCTCTTGAGTTCACCAGCCTCTTCCCTGGCCTGACAACAAGCCCAAGTCGTCTCAGGATCCACATTACCATGCTCCGTCTTTGTGGCTTCCTGTCATCCACTTTCCCCTACAGAAAGCTCCCCTAAGGGGTCATCTATGCTGTGTCTGCACGGTCTCCCTTGCATTCACTCCTTGGTCACGCAGTGTATCCACCAGAATTCACCAGACTTCAGCCACCAGGGAACATGGTCTTGGTTCTCTCTGGATACTACAACCCCATGCCCGATGGGGTCTCCTATATTCAGACTATGTATTTTTGTTTTGTTTGTTGTTAATGTTTTTTAAAACAGTGCTCTTTTTCTTTCCTTCCCTAAATTAAAAGCACTTTGTTAATCACTGTGATCTTTAATGACAGCACTGCCATCTCCTGGTGCTCTTAGTGGGCATCTCTGCACCTCAGTAGAGAGGTAGTTGGGTGTGGATGGTCTTTCTCCAGAAGCCAGGGTCCACACAGGAGTGAAAAGTCCAGCGGCCCTCTGTTGTGCCCACCCTGGCACTAGGACCCTCCCTTGGCCAGGATCAGCATTGGGAACACTGCAGGAGAACATGGGAGTGTGCTCCTGTCCTGCAGCCCGGCCCCAGCTGAGTCGACTGCCCTCTAGCTGGGACTCCACATCAGAAGGACGGTTGGTCCTGTCCCCAGCACCTACATCATGCCCAGGTATGTGACTGACCCTGACCATCTGCGCACATGGCATCCAGCCCCAAGGTGTGTGTTGGGGACTGTGTGTTGGAGGATGGTGACAGAGGGAGAGATGTAGATAACATCCTGCATGGGGCTGTCAGGGCCTTGGGGCTGTCCTGGTTTGTGTTTGTGTCTTCACTGTCTTTGGGGGTTTTGATGTGGRTTCATGGGTAACCTGAAGGGCTCTGGGGCTCCCTCTGCTGAGCTTCTGAGAGAGGCAGGACCTTGCGTGATGAGGTGGTTGGGATTGCAGCCTGGCTTTGCCCGTGCTCAGGGCACCTCCAAGTGCACACTCCAAGTTGGTCCCTTCACATGAAGGAGACGTCTCAGCACCTACCCCTAGCAAAGTTTCAGCAGGCCATGCTTGGAGGTGGCTGTGGGTGGGGGGACGTGTGTGTGCCCAGACAGTGACGAATGTTGCTCATCCTTCCCCTGGACAGGGAAAGCAGCAGAGGTGGCATGTTAGTGGCCTCTCTTCTGTTTCTCTCCTCAGGAGGAGCAGGGCCACCCTACCCCACCCCAGGTGCCTCCCGGGTTTGTACTCACTGACGCCATTCCCTTTGATGACCAGCTGCTTCTTCTTATAGGCCATCACTGTGCCCTGGGGGATCGTCAGTGTCACAGCTCCATCCTTGACAATCTGTCCCTGGACCTCACCCTGGAGAGAGAAAACATACCTAGATAGAAGCTTACATCTCTCTGCCTCACAGCACAGTTAAAAATCCTGTTTCCTTTTCATCACAGCAAGGCATGCTGGTAATTTTAAAGTCAAATACATCTAGAAAGCTCATGAGAAAAACAGCAGGCCCCACTCTCTCATTCCTCCAGGTCCTATTTCCCATTACCATTCGCTTCTCCTTCTTCTGTCCAGCTTTACCCACACATTTTCCAGTTGTCATGTTGCAATATGATAGTTTTTCCAAATTAGGTGTATGAATCCCAACGCTGCAGAAGACCACAGACCACAGGGACACGGCTTCTCATTTCAGAGCTTGCTTTTATCACTTAATGTGATGCCTCTGTGCCTTCTCCGCCTCATTACTCCATCTCTCCAGGGAAGATGGGGATACATGCTTTAGGACTTTGCACACCTAAAGACCTCTTTATTTTAACTCTCACGTTTGAATGAAATTTGACTGGACGTAGAATTCTAGGCAGAAATTCCTTGAAATGTGACTTTTTTTTCCTTTTTAGAAACATGTACAATTTTCTTTTTGAGGTAAGCACCCTGAAAATCTACACTTGTATGTTGTGATGTGGATCTATGCTGACCCAGTGGACTTGGACGGAGCCTGAGTCTCCTCCAGGAATAATTCACTGGCCTTGGGAAAGTTTGTGCATATCTCAGTTTTTTTCCTTTAGTTTATGAAGTTCTTAAGTGAGGACTAACTACACAGAAATATATTGTATATAAAAGCACATGATGAGACACAAATTTTACATGTTCATACTTGATCTGAATAAGTTACAAATAAATTTGCTTACATTAATCTAAAAATCTTTTTTTGGTTATTGTGAGTGAATTATGTAAATCATATTGCTTAAAGACATTTGCATCTTACACCTTAAAATATTTCTTATTGGTTGTCATGGTTTAGATTTGTAATGTCTTATGGTTTGAACGTGAGGTGTCTCCCAAAAGCTCCTATGTGAGACAATGCAAGAAGATTCAGACAAGAAATGTTGAGATTGTGAGAGCCTTAACCCAATCAATAAATTAATCCCTTACTAGGTATTAACTAAGTGGTAATGAAGGTGTGTGGGGTATGGCTGGAGGAAATGGGCATTTGGGGCATGGCTTTAGGGTTCACATTTTATATCTGGTGAGTGGAGTCATTCTCTGCTTCTGGTCTTTATTTTAGCCATTTCCCTCCACCACACTCTTCCTCCATCATGTTCTGCCTCACCTAGAGCCCTGAGGAATGGAGCCTGCTGTCTATGGACTGAGACCTCTGAAACCATGAGCCCTCAACCAAATGTTTCTGCCTTTACARTTACTATGGTTGGTCTTTTTATCACAGCAGCGAGAAAGCTGATAAACCAGCGAGGGTTAGAAGTATGGTCCCCAGTGCAGCCAGGATCAGAGGTCTGATGGGCAATGATTGGATCATGATGGCTCTGATGGATCAATCCAAAATCCACTGGTAGCTGGATGGACTGTGGGAGGAGGGACCTAGCTGGAGGGAGTAAGTCATCAGAAGCGTGCTCTGGAAGAGTTCATCTTCCCTCTCTTTTCTTTTCTCTCTTCTCTCTTCTCTCCTCCTCTTTCTTCTTTCTCTCCCTCTCTCTCTCTCTCCCACCCCTCCTCTCTTCCCAGCCGCCATGGGCTGAGCACCACCATGCCCTTCTGCCATAATGTTTCTACAATGAAGTCGATAGACCATGGACTGAGACCCCTGAAACCATGAGCCAAAATAAATCTTTCCTCCTCCAACTAGTTCTTCTCAGGTATTTCACTCATAGTGACGAAAAGATGAYGAACAAACAGGTCACCATAGAACTTAGGTTACTTTAACAGCTGAGGTTTGCTTTTAATGTTCCTGTTTCCTCCAGTCGTAAAACTGGATCTGTACACAAGGCTCACATTTGATTCAGCAAAATTCACTATTTACCCAAGACACAACATAGGAACAATAATTAAATCCATTTCTAATCTCATCAATAACATCCAATCCCCTAATGTAAAGCATTATAAATTAAGAAGTTATAATATAGTCTCAGGATACCTTGGCATATAAGATGAAGAAAATGGTCATCCCCCAGAGACCCTGGGAGATGAGGATGTAGTGGCTAGATGGCATACTCTTGGTGTCCCCGTGCCATACCTTAATTAAAATATTCCAAGAGCCAAACAATTTTCCCAAAGTATTCACACTACTCTTGTCATGCAGTGTAGTACTGTTGGTCAGTTCKATAACCTCTGTCACCACGTACAGGTTGTCCCCTCTCTCCCGGCAATGCTTCAAAAAGGATGGCTCTGGATCCAACAGTTTGCTGGGGAGATAAGTGAGGTGAGTGGTCAGAGTGAGGAAGCGATGCCTCTCAGGGCACTCTGGGTGACCCTTCTCCTCCAAACCCAGAGGGGTGCATGCCTCTGAACTTTGACAGGTGAGTTCTCAGTGGCAGGAAGACGCTGGACCATGAGGTTAAGGTGCCCAGGGCACAGAACACCTTTTCTGATGTGCAGGATAAAGGCCACTCCATTTTCTAACGGTGGTATACACTGTGAAGAGCATCTGCATCGTACAAAATTACACTGATCCTAATAAGGGGCCATTTATCAATTTCCAGCCCAAGGGTCTCTCAGAAAGCTAGAAGTAGATAAGGTCCAGATGGTYGAGACCAGTCCTTAGAAGATCCTATTTTCAAAGTTAAGTATTCACTCTGAAATGTCCAGAGACAAAATCAGGGTGAGATATGGAGCAAATAGATAAAGCACAAGAAGTAAAATCAAGAATCAATAAATGAGATGGTAAAAAGCTTCTTCACAGCAAAGGAGACAATCAATAACATGAAGAGGGAGCCTACAGAATGGGAGAAAATCTTTGCCACCTGCATTAATAGAGCATTAATCTCCAGGTATATAAATAACTCAAAAAAC